GTGAGCGGCTTCAAAGAGCCAGCCTTGCTCCCCGTTCTGCCCTGTCCCCTGCCAAAAAAAAAAAAAAAAAAAAGAGAGAATATTGAACATTATCCTTAATTTTTCACTACAGTTCAGCGTCCTGCTGATGGTGACAGCAGGGATTTCTGGGGTCCCAGAAAGCCAAACGAGAATTTTGGGTTGCGTCTCCTCATCGCGCACACACGGAAAAAAAGATTGCCTCATTTTCCAGGAATTGGGAATATGTCAGAGGTGGTGGGGGTAAATCCTGCCTTTGATTGTGCACGGCTGTATCCGGGTTGGATCTGGGCAGCTCCTGCAGCCGTAAATCCTAATTCTTTGCATTCTGGAAGCGCTGGCGAGGTGATCCTGCAGCCTGACCTCCCGCGGAGCACCGGGCACACACACACACACATTTTGAAGCCACTTAACTACTTCATGAAGAGATTGTTTCCTTTATTTTTCCCCCCCCCTCCACCCTCCAGCATCAGTCATCTTGACAAGATCTGCTGATTTTTAAAACACGCGCATCCCGCAGCCTAAAATCCAGCCTTTCCTACTGGAACGTCGCGAGGAGTTTATGGAAGAGCGGGGTCCGTGTGCATTGTATTAATATCTATATTTATAGAGAGATAAATAAATAAATAAATATTTATTTATTTATTTATTTTATGTGTATTTATACATATATATGATATTCTAGGCACGCCAGTAGCAAACGGCTGAGGTTTCTAACCGGGATTTTTGGAAAAGGAGGTTTCAGGTGGGGAGGCAGCGCCGAGCATCCCCAAAGCTCCGGAGCCGAGGAGCGGCTCCTTTCTCCCGGCGCCCGTGACGTCAGGATGTTTTTCTGCAGAGCTCGCAGGATGTTGCAGCCGGCCAAGGGCTGTGTTTATGTTGATAACATTACAAGTATTTCCTCTCCGTTTCCGAAACCCGGCAGGGGGAGGGAGCCGAGGGGGAAGGGAGACTCGGGTTTCTCCAGCTTTAGGGGTAGGACTCTGGAGGCCTTTTTTTTAAGTTAAGGAGCGG